TAACATCCGAAGTAACAAAGCTGTATCCAAGTCCACAGCCATGGCCTTGTTAGACGTTGAAAAGGCGTTTGACAATGTTTGGCATGATGGACTTGTGTACAAGCTTTGTAACTTCAACTTTCCATTACATCTTGTTAAAATCACCCGTAACTACCTCCAGCAAAGGTCGTTTAAGGTATCGTTGAATGGTTGTCTTTCAGACACGTTTTCCATCCCAGCAGGAGTCCCGCAAGGCAGTCTGCTGGGCCCCTTGTTTTACAGCATTTTCGATATTCCTCCCCTTGGAGACGGTTGCGTGTTTTTGATGTTCGCAGATGATACCGCAATATCCGCCAAAAAAGGAAGGATGCCTCGCGAAATAACAAACAAACTTCAACGATGCCTTAACGCCTTTGCTGATTATGCCACCACGTGGAAAATCAAAATCAATGCCTCCAAAACACAAGCGATCATGTTCCTCCATCGGCAATCGCCGAAACTGAAACCGGCTCCATCTTGTACTGTAATCATGGATGGCATAAGGGTTGAGTGGTGTGCCGAAGTAACCTATCTCGGGATGTTGTTCGATGAAAAGCTCCTCTTCCGTTCGCATGTAGAGAAAACAGTAGTCAAGTGTTCTGCCTTGGATAGGTGTCTGTATCCGCTGATTTGCCGCAGATCCCGCCTCTCAAGGGTGAACAAACTGGCTGTCTACAAACAAGTCATAGCACCTGCGATCCTCTACGCAGCTCCAGTGTGGGAATCATGTGCCCAGACTCACAGGAACAAAATTCAGATCGCTCAGAATAGAGTGCTGAGGATGGTTCTTGATCGTCCTTTCGACACTAGAATAACAAATTTACACGAAGAGGCAGGCATTGCCAAAACAGATTCCAAAATTAACGAAATTAGCACTAAATTTACACAAAAATGTATTTTATCAGAACATGATTTGATAAGCAATTTGTATATAGTAGATTAGGTGTATATAGTAGTTGTAGGTTATTTGTAGTTGTAAATAGTAGTTTTAAGTAGTCTCCTTTTTCAAATTTAAAACAAACCAATCTCACCAAGGTGGTCATTCTTAAAACAGGCCTGGGACAGGACTAGGAACTGTAATTAATAATAATTGAAATTCAAAAGAACTAAAGTTGAAAAGACGCATCTGTGTCACTTGATAAGTTATACATGTAAACCACACAAATTCAAGAAATAAAGATCATTTAAAGTCAAAAAAAGTACCACTGCTCATTGCCGCTTCGGACGGCGTGGCCTTGGGTCATGCAACAAAAAGGACTAAGTCAGCAGCTAAAGGTGGATCACGGCTTGTCCACCACAATGAGGAATGAGACATGTTAAACCCCCTCTCATCCTTAACAACTACTCTAATGATCACTTTTTCCGGGAAGTAATATCAAGCAAAACCTCAATTATTAACCCTTAAATGCATGATTTTTTATTTTGCGGTGAAAAAAATTCTAGTTATAGAAATTGGGCTTAATATTACTGAACAAGTGATACAAAACTTTTAAAATGTGATTTGATACTTTATTTTTGCAAAATCAAGGTATGTTGCCAAATGGCAACACTATGCGTTAGACGATTAAATAATGTTCTCACTGCCTAACGTCAAACGCATATTGTTGCCATTTGACAACACACTATCTTTATGTATGAAATGTGTGAAAACAGTTTCTTTTGTTAGTGTGACAAAGTGTAACTTTACATTTGGTACATTGTATGCGAGAAAACCCTTTACATCCTGGCAATTTACATCTTGTTTTCTTATCACATCGTTGTTCATAGTGATCACTTCCATCGGTACGAACGTCCTGCGAAGGAACGTAACTCATCGGACCGCGAAATTTTTTTGTTCTTAAATTTGTTTCTATATTATTTGATGGTCTGCCTCTTTTATTGGCACTACTTGTGCCATATCTACACAATGAATCAGCCAGGTCTGTTCTGAAGTCAGCCAAATTCAGCAGTTTTGGCTCTTTGTCTTCGTTAGATTTTTTGTATAGCACCCACGAATTGATTACAGTTATATCCAACATATGGTAAAAAAGTCGAATGTACCATTTTCTACTTTTGACTCTAATCTTGTACCTGCCAAGAAAACTGTCCATGAGATCCACCCCACCCATATGAGCGTTATATTCTTTGATGATTTTCGGACAAACAATTGTGATCTGCTTTTTATCCTTCTTATCAAATCTTCTGATGGTATCCACAGGTTCAGCACCAACATACGTGGAAGCTAGTGTCACGAGTTTGCTATCTTTCCAACATGTTACACTAATAGCCACACCTTCATAGTCGGTAAGTTGTTCTTCATAAGTTCCACGTGTTACAGACGGCTTCATGAAATCTTTTTGTGTAGGAAGATTGCAATGTTTGCCTAGCCGATTTCTTTGAATGGTTCCCAATGCATGAATACCTTGAGTAGACAAATAATGAAGCAATGGTAGGGTTGTATAATAATTGTCGAAGTACAGTATATGGTTTACATTCCTGGGAAGTGGTCGACATAAACGAACTACTGTGTTTCCCACTAATCCGAGATCAGGCTCCTCCGAAAACCTTACATGCTCTTTTTTTCCGCTATATATTTCAAACCTGTAAGCGTAGCCACTCAAGGAGCATAACACATACAGCTTAAAGCCCCACTTATGAGGCTTGTTTGGCAAGTATTGCTTCATGAAGTGGCCAACTTTGGTAGCACACATTTGCTCATCAAGAGACAATCTTTGCTCGAAAGGCGTGACGGAAGCAAAAGTATTGTTCATATAATCTATTATAGGTCTAATTTTGTGGAGGCGGTCATGAATGGGATGACCAACAGGTTTGTGGAGATCATTATCATTGAAATGAATTACGGAACGAATTCTTTCGAACCGATTTAGGGTCATTGACTCCATTATCGTTGCAAAACCATATTTTGACCAATAAGATCTCACATTCGGGTAATGGTAAACAGACATGAAGATAAGAATACCAAAAAACTATCGAATTTCCGATAACGTGACCGGTTGGCAGTGTGAAATTCCCTTTTGAACAATATACAAATTCGTCTCCTCCACTATTTTTACCAAAATATCATCCGTCATAAACAGTGAGAAGAATTGAAACGGTGTCTGCATTGCTGTTGTACTTTCGTAGGGTTTGACGTTTCCGGTAAATTTTACCCGATCATCGTCATAAATCAGTTTATCCTTTTTCCATATCCAGTCACGGGTTCCTGGCTTATTGACTACTGCTGGTCGTTCAGGATTGACGTTCGGTGAATCGTTTTTTCCCGGATTCCGGAAAAATCTGTTAGGTTCTTCATCGTCCGATTCGTCCGAGTCAGATGTTCCCTCCAAATCACGTATCAAGTCATCACTGTGAAGGTAATAATCAAATTCGTTGACATCCGTGAAATCTGCCTCATCCTCCGATATGAAACCATCCTGCAGTGACGCTAGATATGTTTCGATATCCTTTTCTCTGAATATTCTATTATTCATTCTGAAAAAAAATATGTACTAAGTTTATTTTGGATGCGAATTTTTGCCATACACAACACATAAATAGAAGTGGTATACGCATAGTGTTGCCGTTTGGCAACATATAAGTTTTGCTGAATATTGTAAAGTACGGATAGTAAAATAGCGTTCTGAAATAACACGTCAGTTACTTACACGTATTGCAACACAATCACGATTTTTTTCAGCAAATAATTATACGTATTATGCACAAAAACCCAATAAATATTCTCAATGAATCGATGCGACGGAAAACTTCCGGCAAATGAATGGAAAATGCATGATATGTCAAAATTAACCGTTACCTGTGTAACTTCATCCTACCGTAGTTGTCGGCTAATGTATAAACTTTCGTTGTAATGTAAAAACGACCAAAAAAAAAAGTTACTTTATCATGTTTATTGACAAAAGTAGGTATGTTGCCAAACGGCAACACTATGCATTTAAGGGTTAATAAAACAAAAGGTAATTTCTTCCCGCACTAAAACTTTCAAATTTGAGAAAAAAAATGCTTGAAGGCATATTCAATGATTTATGTTGGTGAACATATCATCTCTGGTACCTCTATATATGGAATAAGATTAACATACAAAGTCCATCCTTTTTTACATATTCTGTACAAAAGATACGTTCTGCCACACCCCATTCATAATAATAAGTATAATAGTCAAAAATACATAACAAATATCAATTTTGCGTGGTTCTACGTCATACAGCGGTCGTGTCTAGGACACAACACTTTAATTTTTTTTTCTCTCAATAGATGTACTTATATTAAATCAATACAACCTTACCTTATACAAGTTACCTCTATGGTTTTATGATCTTGGATCTAGGGGCATAATTTGGTCTTCGAGAATGAGCTGCAATAATTTTCTTAAACATGCTGTATGACAAAAAGTGAACTGTTGCTCGCAATACATCGGATTGGAACGCGATTTTACAAAATATTCCTTCAGCAATACTTAAACTAAAATTTGAATATATCAACTACTTATCACTAATAATAAATAACTTACGTTCAGTTTTTCTCAATACAAATACTCCCACTCTCACTGTCAACACTCCTGTACTTAGTGTTTACGTCCTATGTTGTACGTATTAATTGATTAGCTTAATTGACTACCGAAATACAAATACCATCAAAATCATAAATTGACAAACATCTAATTCACGGAAGTCTATAATAGCAAAATATACTGCAAATTACACTATATTTCAACTAATCTACTTAATTTTAACATGTAACATTTGCAACAACTAATTGACTGGACCAAAGACAAAATCTATCACAATATGAAAAATACACAATTTTTTTTACTGCTTCAAGAGAACTGTCAGTAGACAGGCGCGTTCACGGTATTCGCCCATTCGCAACTATGGGTGCTCGCTTTCGCTGACGGCAACAGTGAACAATCATAAAAATTTCGGCCTAACGACCCATCCCTAAAATCGTGACAAATTGTAACTTCTTCTTTATCATTTCCATTGCAGACAAAAAACAAAAACCATCAAAAGACAAACAGCTGAAGGAATCTCCCGGACAGGCAGCGTCCGCCAAAGAAGAAGCCCCCAACGTCAAGTGCGTCCTCGTCGGCGACGGAGCGGTCGGCAAGACGAACCTCATCGTGTCCTACATCCAGGACCGCTTCTTCCCGGAGTACGTTCCGACGGCCTTCGACAAGTACAATGGTGAGTTGCGGATAATTCAATCATTCTGGTGCTTTCGGCATTATCTCAATCCATTTTCCGAATGCGGTTTGATGGGTTTGACAGTGCGCGATATAGTGAAAGTCGTCAAAAAGGGAAACTTTTTCGCATCGCATCCATAGTTTTGGTGGGTGAGAAAGAAGCTGAGGAGCGGAACTTGATCAAAAGAGTCGGATCGGGAACATGGGAAAAGAGTGAACGAAAGATAGAGCGTTATCGTTATTGGGTATCAAATTAAGTTTTTCGACGCTGTGAGAAAAGTGCCGTCTCGTCGTCTGACTTCGTCCGTCGGTTTCGGTTGAAAGATCTAACAACTCGGGTTGGGTTGGGGTGGATGATGGCCTTCGATTCTATCGGTGAATAAATTATGACTATCGTCGGTGTCGGTTGGGATTCGGAAAGATGAGTGCGAGGAATTGGAGGAGGAGGAGGAGGAGAGGTTTTTTTGGTTGATAGGATCAACCAAATGAACTGGCTTAAGTGAGTTGTCGAGTTATCGGAACAATTCGATCAATTTCCACGTGGTTGTTCTATTCCTCCACTTTTGATTTCCATTCTTCTGCTTTGGGGAAATAGAATGTAGAGCTGTCAGCATGACGTTACACAACTCTTCTTTCACTGGAAAGATACATCACTGGAAACGTAAATATTTAACGACGAAGCACTTGCCCTAACTTCGTTTGGGTGGTTTCTGCCAAAGTATGTAGGTCACGACTCCGAGTGATTCCGGTTGAGCAAATCTCAGTCCATACGATTCCACCTCTGGCACCGAAAAGTGAACAGCATACATCTTCGCTCGTACAGTAACTGAGTTGCAGTGCAGCAGTGTAAGCACCTGTAAATCCAATTTATTTGCATAATCTAATCTGTGCTAGCCAAAGCCGGTCCTTCATATTTCTCTGTTTCTCGCTCTTGCGAGAAGAGCCATGCTCCTCCTACCTACATGCATATATCAAAAGCACAGTCAGTAATACAAGCAATCATAAAGTCCCACGGGTGCTGCGGTTTGAGGGCATGGTTAGGTGTGATGGAGGGATTCCAAGCCAAGGAAGCGGAAAAACTACTACAACTCTCTCGCGCCCTGCTCCTGTGACTATTGTATGGTGGTTCCATCGCGGACGACGACGATGACGACGACGGAGAAGAATTCCACGGTGAAATGAAATATGCAAACCATAAATCCTTGCCAATTCTCGGCAGCGTGGTAGCTTTCGAATGAATCAACCTTAACCCGCTAGGGTTGGGCGGGCAATTTTGGACCTACCAAGGCTAAGTGAAAATTTACATACACTTCCAAGAACTAGCTTAGTTTTCAATGTGTTTTGACCTTTTCTAGGTCGTTTTGGCATTTTGAGACCACTTTGATTACCAGACGCTTTTAATGTTTTGCTTTGCTCGTACACTGAGGTGTACCGAAAGGCTATAATATCACTTGAATACCACAAGCCCGATCTGACCCAAGTAACAATTAGGGTTTTATGAGGGTTCTGTAGACCACGATTTAGACTTGTAGAATACTTCAAAACCATGATAAAACCTGAAATGTTACTTGGGGAGTAATAGTACGTTCAGACTACAGAGTTATAACATGTTATAGCGCTATCTTGATGGTGGTTTCTGTGTTGCAATTATTTGACAACCGTTATAACTCTCCAGTCTGTACAGCGTTTAAGGCTACTTGTCGGTTTAGAAAGTTAAGAAATTTCAAGGAAATCGCTGAAATTTTAAAGAAGTTCCGAGAAACTAAGAGAATTGCCGAAAACTTCTGCAATGTTCCGAGGGGCTCATGCAAATCTAAAAATCGTAAGGGAAGTTACACGAACATTAGCACATTGTGAGAAAATTTTATGGGAAGTTCCGTGCTTATTGATGGCAGTGTCGATAACTTTTAAAAATGAGAAAAATCGTGAAGATCAGAGAACTTCAATGCTGATGTTACAATAAATTCAAGAAAACTGTGAGAGTGTTTAAGAAGTTTCGTAATCTTCAAGAAAGTCTAGAAACCTTCAAAGTTGATTAGAGATATTCCGGTAGTCTCATTATAATCAGGGGAAGTTCCAAGTATTTCCAAGATGATCAGAGTACTCCAAAACAGTCCGAGGAAATATGGAATATTCCTAAGTACATTTCAGGAATGTTCCAAAAACTTCAGGAGCCTTGTGGGGTCTTCAGGGATCTTTTTTGACCATTTGAAAAATTTTCTGGATCATTAGAACATCCCCCAAGAGCTCTCTCTTCCGGAATTATGTCCTTGTTTCTTTCGACTGTTCCTTTTGCACTCTGGTTTCCGACTTCCTACAGAATTTTTTACAATCTACCTTAGGAAGTTTCTGCCAGCGTCTCCAGGAAGTTTATTCCGTCTTCTCCAGGAAGTTCAATTAAATTTCTCCCAGAAATTTCTTTCGTCTAGTTCTGGAATTTTGTCCAGTTGGTTTTTTTTACTTCTATTGGAAGGTTTTTTTCCGAGCTTCTTCTGGCTTCCCCTGGAAATGGCTACTTTTGGAATTTATTTCCGATTTCCGAAACTTTTTTGCCTTCCTTTGAATTTGAAATCCGATTTTTTTTTTCTGAAAGTTTCTTTAAATTTTCACCAGAAGTTTCTCAATTTATGTCTTGGAAGTTCCGCGGATGTTTTTCCTTCTTTCTTCTTTCTCTGGCTCTTGTTTTCAGCTTCCTCCAGAAGCTAATTCAAACATTCCCCGGAGTTTTCTCCCGGAATTTTCCGATCATAGTCCAAAAATTAAAATTTTCCCTTTTAAAAACGCCAAAAATATAAATTAATTAAAATAGTAAATACCGATAAATTCCGATTTTTTTAAACCTTTGATACCGATAAGCTTTAAAACATTCTGGTAACGCTGCCATCAACGCCAATGCAACGGCCTATTTTGTCCTTAAACCGTCGAACGGGTAAGTTGTGTGTGTTCGGCGATAGTGGGAGCGAATGCCTTAATTATAAATGGCGGATCTCGCCAGTGAACATTTTGTTACACTGGAATCCTAGCCGCCATTTCACTGTTACCGCCATTATGCTATAGTCCCTCTTACCTTCTCAACCTCTTTTGCAACTTGTTATCGCCCTCTTGCCCCTGCGATTATTTGCGTCACGGGGCCTGCTGAGATGAGTTTTTTCTCGGACATCCAAGGCAACTGTATTTGGTTCCTGAACGATGTTTACTGGTGTAGTCTGGCAAATGTCTCAAGACCGGCGCACAATAGATACGTTTTCGGGTTTTTTGACAGATAATGCATGGGCTAACTGTCAAAAAACCTGAAAACGTATCTATTGTGCGCCGGCCTTCAGAGCCCACGGATGCGAAGGGTATTGCGTTCATCTTGGACAGATCGCGAGAGAGTTCTAGGAAAGCCCTTACAAGAGCAGATGGATGGGCACTAAGGTTAACCCCTTACAGTTAGGACGTAGAGTACGTAAGAGACAGGGAAAACATAGAAGATCCATTGTCCTGCTTGTACGAGGGTCCCGACGATCCTTTTGATGAGAATTCCAGTCCCTGGAAAATCGCTAGACTTGAAGCAAACACGATTAATTTTCTGACCGAGAGCGAGGTGCGTGAAGCGTCTACACTAGATGAAACCCTACCTATAAGTTCTTAAGCATTGGAGACAGGAAATTGGTCCAAACAACTCCGTAGGTTTCATTTATTGGCAAGGGTATAAATCCAGAAAGATGGGATTCTGGTTAAAAATGGACGTACCGTAATTCCTATGACCTCCGAGAAAAATCCATTCACAAATCCAACGTATTTGGTGGCCAGAACTGCAAAAAAATATGCGGAGAATTGGGTCAACAGTTGTAAAATGTGCACCGTGAATGGTAGACCTGAGAAACCTACACCGATAAAGCTGATTTTCGCTACAGAAACCGTATGGAATAGAGCTAATAAACTATAGAGGAAGAATAGCGCTGGTGTTCCCTTTGTTCCGATGTTGAATAATACCGGGTACAGAACTGTCAAACTGCATAGTTTTTTCTTGCTTTGACAGTTTCGACAGCGACCGCAGCGCTATTCTTCCTCTATAGTTTATTAGCTCTATTCCGTATGGGCTTTCAATTAATCATATCGTCCGGCCATTTTCCACAGAGATGGCGCTGTTCCGCTGGTAGGAAGTGATAAAAATCCCCATATAGAAATTGAGAGAAGTGGGAATAATTCTCTTTCTGTGCATATTCAGATCAAAAAAAGTAAACGACAACCTGAGTAAATTAGTCTGGGACTCTGTCGTTCAGTTTTTTCCCGGAAATTATTGTTGAACAAGCTATAATTAAATAAAAAATGATTTTTCTTCATACAGTTTTACCTGCTTTACTACCAGCCCCCAGAGAGCCAAAAAATTCAAATTTGAGAGAGAAAATTTACTCTCACGACCTCAATCTCTCAACACGCCATGTATTTTGAAGACACTCGATTAGTGATTTCCCTTTCACAGATTACAAAAAAGAGTACCTAACACTACAAAACATGTCTGGTACCTCTATATATATACATTTAGATTAACATTCGAAGTCCCTCCTTCTTTACACATTCTGTACAAAAGATACTTTTTGCCCCGCCCCATTCATAAAAATCGGCGGAAAATTCTGTGAGGGGTGAGCTATTTTTTGTGCAGAATGTGTAAAAAGGGAGGGACTTCGAATATTAATCTAAATGCATATATAGAGGTACCCGACATGTTCTGCACTGCAGTGTCCTCTGTGAACAATTAACGGAAAACAGATTGTATGTAGTTTCGGATAGATGTCACCGCAAACAACAGCAGTGACATCTGATGGAACTTGAATGCAGAAGCTTGACAAAATGATTAATTGCACTTGACTTTAATGAACCATACGCGAGATATGGTGGCATTTACATTCTGGTAGTAGTCGACTACAGATCGTGATATTTGATTGCAAAATCAGTAATATGAACAAGTTTTAATCAACACCGAAGAAAGTGCTAGAAGAAATTTTCGACAGAGAG